TCTAAATCAGCAGCGAGCCACCTAGGGTGACTAAGCTGCACCTCTGTAGATACCGTCCAATGAGTGAGTGTTGTCATCCTAGGACAAGAAGTGTATTACTGGCAGGATCACCTGGTGGTAATACAGGAAATAAAAGCCTGAAAAAAAAGAAAACTAATGTAGCTACCACATGTAAGGACTGGTAAGCTGCAATATATAATATTTTTGATATTGGGCTAGATACACTTTAAGAAAAAAAGAAAACAGAGTTGTGCTTTAGCAAATCCCTAAAAGGGATCACATTTATTTGTCTATCTAAAAGGGAAACGCATCTGAATAGATTACGTCCCAGGAAATAATGCTGAAATGTTGGTGCCTAGGAATTCTTTACAGTAGATCTCCTACGTACATTTGCCTTCCAGGTCAGCAACTGAATGCTAAGCGGGATCAAAGCTCCGAATATGACAGCATGTTTCCCAAATATATTTCCAGAAGCAGAATAAACATGTACTTTCCTATTATGTGGTCTCTTAGGTACGCAAACTAAGTACCAGAAATTATCACATTAGCCTTCCACAATACACCAGGGGCATTGCATTAAAGCGTGCATTTTATACTTTAACATTAAGCCGTAGGGCAGGGTAACCATGCTGAGCGGTAGGGAATCATACGAAAGCTGGAAAAGCATTATATTTCTATACACAGTTGCAGATTAAGCACGCTGTGATAGAACCACACATCCAGGCACGTGCCGTATGTATTCCCTGAGTAAAACTAGTAGTGAATGAGTTCATTTTTCACCGCCGATGGGTCACTAGAATGTTTTAGGGAGGTGGAGGAATTGTATAGAATATACTCATAAGCAAAGTGATATCACCAATAGAGAACTCTGAACAGTTGCAATCAAGCTAGTTGTCAGTTTATGAATTTTTAAATGGTAAAAGGTGTTATTCTAGTCCAGGCCTTTTTAAACTTTCTCCACTCGTGACCACTTTTTGGCTGAGGACATTTTTACGTGACCCCAGCGTCGGTCGGTGTCTCTCCCCTCTTTCCTCCCAGCGTCGGTTGGTGTCTCTCTCCTCCTCTCGTCTACTAAAGAAAGCTCCGTCAATTGAAAAAAAATCTTCCTGCGCGCACGGGCTCAGGAAGGTAGCAAGTGCACAGGGGGGGCCCGCGACCTTAACAACTACACTACATTGCACATTAAACAAAAATCTAAAAATCTTGCTTGGAGCCCAGGCCTCCCCGGCCGCCTAGGCCCGTCACACAAGTACCGGCCGTACCCCCCTGATGGCGGTCCTGGCCGGGGATTCAGATTTTGACCCCCACTGTTCAGTTGCGTGACCCCATATGGGGTCGAGACCCACACTTTAAGAAGCACTGTTCTAGACCACCCTTTCTCACCCAGGGTGCCATGGTACATTGGGGTGCCTTATGGTTTCCTCAGGAGTGCCTTGAAATTTTGTAGTAGTGGGACTGTGATGTGAAGGGGGTATGAAGACTGATGTGAAAGGGGCCCCTGATGTAAATGGGGAACTCTGATGGGAAAGGGGGAACGCTGATGGAAAAGGGGGAACTCTGATGGGAAAGGGGGGAACTATGATATGAAAGAAGGACTGCTGGTGTGAAAGAGGGGTTCCTGATGCAAAGAGTGACTCTGATGTAAAAGGGGTGATCTTGATTTGAAGGGGCTACTTCGATGTAAAGGGGAAACCATACCTCTTTTTTTGTGTGTTCTTGAGTGGCGTCCCCCTTAAAATCTTTGACATTTCAGACTGAGGTGCCTCAAGAATATGCACACTTTGAAAGGGTGTCATGAATGAAAAAAGGTTGATAAATGCTGCTCTAGACTATGAAAACACATAGGTCACACACCAAGGAGTTCTGCTTTTCACCTATGTAGTTTATCAGGCAACCCCAATTGTGAGAAGCAATTTGTTGCTGATAATAAATGCCTCCTGCAGCATATGAAGAAGGGATCAGGGGTTCCCAGCTCCATCTACTCCATAGTGTTCTTTGGGCCTAATTAATTAGGGTTTTAGTCCAATGAATCCAATCCAGGAACCAACAGAATCTTCAGGAGCCAGTCTGTCCAATCCAGTAATCAACAGGACCCTCAGTAGCCAGTCTGTCCAATCCTGGACCCAACAGGATCTTCAGGAGCCAGTCTGTCCAATCCAGGAACCAGCAGGGTTTTTTTTTAGGAGGCAGCTCTATTGACAACTAGACAACTACTTTAAAGGAATAAAACAAAGTGCACTTATCCTTTTTTTGCCCCACCCCTGACCAAAGTAATCACATCACCCTCCGCAGATCCGTACTTACCGAGATCCAATGGGCATGCTTCTGCTATTCTGTACATCCAGTGCCACAGTGCTCCCTCTTCTGGCCACCTTGCACATTACAGTCCCATATACTTCAATGGGGCCACCTTCCAGCCAGGGAAGGACACAGCCTGGAGAGGGAGACGTGCAGCGTTGGATGTCAACAAATGGGAACATCGGCCCTCAGATCTCGGTAAGTATAGGTCTGTGGGGGGCAAGGGTAGTATGGTTTAGGTCTGGGGAGGGGGGCAAAAAGAATAAATGCACTTTGTCTAACTTCGCTTATTCTTTAAGACCATATCCCGCAGGCTGCAGCTCTTAAAACAAGAATCTATTTTTTATTTGATCAAAATGCGATAAAACTTCCCTGGCTTAATTTAATTTGCTTCTTCTTTTATTTTACCCCTGTCTGTGGTTTGTTGCGGTCACACTTTAATCACTACCTCTACCAATGTGTAATCTTTGCGAGAGAGCCAGACTAAATTGGTCTTCTCTTGCTTGTAAGGGGAAAAAAAAATCAGAGGTGAAGATCACATTAATTAATTACATGTGTTTTGGCACCAACGATCTTGAAGTGATATTTTCCAATCCGACACCCCTATTTACTATGGCGAGGAGGGGGGGGCGCTGATATTTTCCAGAGCCGCTTGCTGCAGGCCTCTCGGTTAATGAATATGATGGGGATATAAAGTATGACCTTTATATTATAGTCTGGAGGAGCAGACAGCAGCCTTCAGAAAGCATCACATCATTAAGCCTGGCACAGATTAGCAGCAGGATTTGGGCCTAGTTCAAATCCCTGCTTCATCGATATAGAACTCAGCGAGGGTGGCAAAAGTCCAACCCAATTTCTCTTTCCCAGGTGTCAGTTCCATCATGATGTTGATCATGAAGGAAGTTTTCTCGAGGGGGGTGGGGAAGACGTGAGCGGAGAAGCCCCGTATCTTCTGCAGCCTAGTACCCGGAATGCCACTGGGAGGTTTCCGTGATTGATTAGCCGTGTACTCACCGATAAGTGTCACGGTAACATGGGACGGCGCGCGGCTGCTATTGCAGGAAGAAGGCAGCGGTTTCAGAGAACAGCTTTTGTTTTGCTACAAAATAAATCATATTTACAGAAGCCCAGACCGGCCCGGGTTCTAGAAAGACAGAAGGAGCTGCGGCGGGACAGAAGGCTCGGGTGGTTGTACTTTTTGTTCACATAGACGGATACGTATTCTATTTAGAAAAATAGATATTACATAGAGAGTTATTAGGAGGATGGAATCATAGATAGAGGCATAGGTACTAGATAAACTGAACATGTTACATAGATATTACAGGCAGCTATAGAAAAATGAATGGATTGATATATTAACAATAAAGAGGTAATAGATTGATCACATATTATAGATAGAACTAGATAGATAGATAGATAGATAGATAGATAGATAGATAGATAGATAGATAGATATTGAGGGATAGATAGATAGATAGATAGATAGATAGATAGATAGATAGATAGATAGATAGATAGATAGGCCTTATAGATGCATTTGCTTATGAACATGAACAGAATTTTGCCCAGTTGTGATTCTTGCACTTATGTGTTATTAAAAAAACAATATAAGGTGAATTTTTCCTTCAAAGATGTATAACGCTTTCTGCTTAAAAGTGAAAACCCTTTCAACTGGTGGGCAAATTCCAGTGGGAGGGGGATATGTGTACATAGTAATGATATGCTGTTTTCAGCCTGGTAACTTCCAAATAATAATACAAAAATAATCAGTTTACTCGGGACTGTTGATCCTCTTTGTGTGCACTTTTTGGCTTTTTTTTTTTTAAGAACATGTATCGCCCCCTGCTTGTAAAACCTGGTATTGTGATGCATCAATAACATACATGTTCCGCTGCTTAGACTCCACACTTCCAGTCAGTGTAAGCTTCTAGTAGTTATGTACAGGAGAATGGTGGGAAGTGAGGACCACTTCTTCTTTTATACATAAGGGGTCCTAACGTTTTCCAATTTTCTGGTAAAGAAAGGACTGGCATAAAGTGTATGACCCGCCAAGACACACATTTCAGTCTGTTGCAGGTGATAACAGTCGCCGTAATGTGCAGTCATCATTACAAAACAAATTAAGGGGCAGGTGTTTAAAGATAAGCTCCAAGCAATCAGCTTCTTGTCCATCCAGTCCTGAGATTTGCAAAGCTCAGTCTGGTCTACCAGGGGAGGAGACCTGATATTTATTTGCTACACTTTCAGTTTAACTTAAAGGTCCATCCCTACTCTGTGACTGGGCAGTTAATGGAGAATCAGCACAGTGATGACCTAATCTCTCTGTCACTGTGCCCTTTCCTCCTGTCATTCCGCTCCTCGCACTAAAGCACATATTATTGGCTCCTTGTGCTGCTTCTCCCTCCCCTTTTCTGAGCTCTGCTGTACAGGCTGAGGGCAATACCAAGTCATATTCATGTACTTGCACTGCTTACATTGAAATACATTTAATGTAATAATGAATACAGAGTTGTATTATTTGTGACTTATATTTTTGCACCTTTGACCACTTACTTTTTTTCATTAGTGTTTTTTTTTTTTAGCAGTAGTGATGCATGCAGCTACTCTACATACAATTACTGCCACCAATACAGTGTATTCTGACTGGCTTGTTGTATTTTAGAGATTAATGATGTAATTGATGTGTTGTTTTTTTGCAGATAAATCAGAGCGAAGCTCATACCCATGCTACAGCAGAGACTCAGAAATACAGGGCTGCCATCAGGTAAGATAGACTGACATTTCTGGGGGAACTGCTATTGTTGTCTACTGTATATCAACCAATCAGATTCTGTCTTCTATGCCCCCATGCTTAAATATTGAAAGGTTGCTGAGGCCGCAACTTAAACCTGGTCACCCTTGAGCCATTCTGAACAGAATAAATGTAAGGACCCCTATACTAAGGACCGTGTTAATGTAAACTATGACCCCCTGCTACAAGCAGAAGTATCAGAGTAAGTTAAAGAGGAACTTTATCCTTCCAATGAAAATGTTATCCCCCACCCCCCTACCACCACCACCACCACCACCACCATCAACCCCCTTGCTTCATGCTGTTTAAAAATGCCTACAAGCCCAGCAGATACAGCCTAGCCCTCTTCTCTTGAACCACTCTCCTATTCCAGGACCCGCACCACACCCCCATCTTCCTTTTTACATCATAGTGAGCCGGCTTTCTCTTCCTGGTTCTTGTAGCTGCTCCCCTCATTGACGTGGCACCAGATCTTGCACATGTGCAAACAGAACCGCTGCCTTGTCTATGAATGCAGGAAAGTAATGCTTGCTGAGATATCACTGTCACATATGCCTGGAGGCATTATTTTGCACCATTCATAGAGCAATATGTAAGCAGAGATGGAGCCAGACCTTGCACATGAGCAGACAGAAATATGGCACAGTGTCTGTTTACATATTGTTCATGAATAGAGGAAAGTAATGCCTCCTGAGATATCGCTGTCACATATCCCTGGACGCATCACTTTCAACCATTCATAGAGCAATATGTAAACAGAGATGGCGCCAGAACTTGCACAAATGAGCAGACAGAAATATGGGACAGTGCCTGTTTACATATTGTTCTATGAATGGTGGAAAGTAATGTCTCCAGGGATATGTGACATTGATACTTTCATCCATGCCTCTTGGAAAATGTGACGTCAATATCCCAGGGGACTGCCAAAGACTGAAACATCTTTTGCATCTATGACAAGGACCATGAGAAAACCATAGGAAAAAAAACATCTTTGGAATGTCCGAGATGATAATATTTGTCCATTTACACAGAATAATTGCACCTGTTCTGTAGTTTAGGTTCAGATTTCTTTGTAATATTTTCATGTCCAGTGGGATTTTTAAGTAATGGTCAGTCCACCTAAATCCGTCATTTTAGTTTTGCCAGTTTAAATCACCTTGTAGAATGCAAATGTTCACAAGCAGGATCCTTCTAATTTTTTGTATGGTATTATAATTGTACTGTCTCTCCATATGTTGTAAGGTGCTGTGCAAACTGTTGGCGCTATATAAATCTTGTATAATAATAATAATAATAACGATGATGACTTCTTATGTTGTGGCCAGTATAAGACAGGTGGATGTGTTAGATTCACAGACTGATACCCTCTGATGTGTAATAAATCTATAATTAATATCCGATATAAAAATCCCTTCCTCAGGATCTTGTGGTGAAGACAAATGAGCAAAATCTTTGTAGAAGTGGTCTACTGGCTCATATTGACAATTCAGATTGCTTGTTTCCTGTTCCCAGTGGAAAGAACGTGAACTCAGATTGGTTAGTGTGGTCAGTTAGTCCACTTGTGTGCGGAACTTTCTTTTCTCCAACAGATGTAATTTGAGATATTCATCAATGGAATTTCTGAACAATGCAATGGTCGTACTTCAAATTACAATTACCAACCCAAACTTGGTGTATCAGTGTTGGGTATAGTTTGCCTGTAGCATTTATTAATCAATAAGTGTTTAACTTGCTGTTTCAGGATAAAGCAAAAAAGTGAACTGTTGATGTCTATGGTCTTGTGAACCTTATATTGTGTATGTTTGGCTTTGGTGCACAAGCTTAGTATCCCCCTTTTTCAATAAGTTGACAACTATGGGGTCAGGAAGCATGAGATTTGGCCTATTACATGCTAGTGATTCTGTCCTGGTGGCAACTCCCTAGAGGACAAATAAACCACCCACCCGTTTTCATGGTGTTGAACTCTTGCTGGCCGTACCAAGAAGGATTATTCCCTTATTTGCCTAAATACTGTATAGTCTCCCTCACCAGTGAGGGGCCAAATCCTTCCTCCAAATAGGTGAGTGGTTTATTTGCCCTTTCTAACAATCCTGTCCAAGGTGCTGCCAGGGACAGAAATGCTAGTTTGTCATATAGGCCTTAGGGGGGATCTTCACTGTTGCTTATCTGACTATCTGCTCATAGGATCTGAAGACAGTGAGAGAGACTTAAAAGCTTGTGTTTAGCTTTTATGTCTTCCCTTCTGTGTGTCCAGCAGTGTTATGGAATGGCAGTGCTTACCCCACTAAGAACTAACATGGGTACCTGAATCTGCCTTGATATCAGCTTCCCCCAATCCCTTGTACTGTAGTATTATGCTTTGGTGGTAGGATGTAGACTGAGCCAGTCAGGCTCTACTGCTTTGCACAGTGGTGTCCATTTTTACTCTCCTGCTGGAGATCATCAGGTGTTCTCCTTGCCAGTCAGCTGTTTTCTCAGATCTAAGGCTCCTGGAGCTTGTCATCACAGCTCATTGTCCTATGGGAACAAGCCAGTGTTAATAGCCCATTGATTTGCCAGCATAAGTTGTGTTATACAGACCCAGTCCGGTCCGGGAAGCCCATTGAAAAGTAACAGCTTTATTAAAGGAGAGCTATGGGGTCAGTGTTTTTCCCCATAGTTCTCCTTGGGGTAACGGGAGGACACAAACTAGCGTCCTCCCGTCACCCTAAGCTCAGTATACCGCGAGCTACAGCTCGCTGTATACTGAGACGCCGCACCTGGAGCGGATCCCGACTTAGATGACGGGATCCGCCCAGCTGCGTGAGTGACAGCTGGCTCTGCCTATCTAGAGGCAGAGCCAGCTGTACCCGCCCCCTCCCCCATCCGTTCCGCCAGTCAGCGCTGGCAGATCGGAGCGGGGAGAGGGGAATCCAGCCCCTCCCCCTGTCAGGGCAGAGAGCCGTGACAGGATCGAGAGGTGAGGGAACCCGGTATGTTTTCCCTCACCTCGCGATCTACTGAGCCGACCTGTGACAGTCTCATTGTCACAGGTCGGCTTAGAACTATGACGTGAGTGGCAGTAAACTCAGGAGTTGGAGCTTAAAAATGCATTCAAGTACCTTAACTATTAACAAAAATTTATCTTATTTGTGTATCACTCGGCTGTAGATCCTCAAATCATCTCTGAATTGGTGCTGACACTGTCCTTCCTTCTGGAGGGTGGCTACTTTTGTTCCTCATTGTCCCGGTGTGTGTGTGTGTGTTGTAAAGTAGCCACCGCTCCAAGCTCACTCCCATGATAAGACTTTAACTTCAATACAAATTAGTAAACTAAACATGAGATTGTAGTCCATCACGGGAGCAAGCTGGAGCCGTGGGTACTTTATAACACACACAGAGACCATGGGGAACAAAAGTAGCCCCCCTCCAGAAGGAAGGACAATGTCAGCACCAATTCAGAGATGATTTGAGGATCTACAGCCGAGTGATACACAAATAAGAGACATTTTTGTTAATAGTTAAGGAACTTGAATGCATTGTTAAGATTTAACTCCTGACTTTAGTGTCACTTTAAGTTGAGCAATAGAGAGCAAAATGTAGGCAAAACGTTTCGGTTTGTGGAAAAACTCTAGGAAATCTTTGCTGAGATATTAGCCTGTCATTGTTAACCTCTTAAAAATCATTAGTTGAATAGTTATCTGGCTATCTCTGGCTTCAGTACATCCAAGCCACTAACCCTTAGCAAGTTATCAGCCAGGGAAGTCAGGTTTGAGTCATAACTTGTTATCTGCATACTTATTCAGGATCAGTGGCTCAAGTGTTGAACCCATTGCTTCTGCATTATAGCGAGGCAGCTGCTTTGGATGGAGAGGTTAGCATTGGCAGACTGCATACTTCTCTCAGCACAGGTTCCTTTTAAAACAAACAAAATACCACCCCCTGGAAATTTGCAGCTGTAAGTTTCGGCCCGGGCAGCTGGCCCAAAAAGGCTTCTTCTTCTGATGGACTCTTATGGTGCAGGTTCCTCACCTAGAAAGTTGACTGCAACAGCTTCTACAGTCCAAAACAGATAGTGCAAACACAGACTTTAAACTGGTGCTACTACAAGGTCTTTGTTTGCTGCACAATAGCTGTAAATTAACATGCTCATAGAGGTTCTGTGAGAATAAACTCATAGGAAGAGGATTAAAAAAAGTCTATGGGAAAAAAAAAACTGATTTGTTGTCCTTTTCATCCTTTCAATTGTTGTTGGCTTAATGTCAAGGCCAAGAGGCTCAATGCAGAGCCCTCTCGAGAGATGTGTGCATTCGGCAGAAAAACTCTGGATGTTTCCATGAAGCTGTAAAATGTCATAGCTCCTCCAATCCCGAGTCACCTTTCTGCAGCTGTAGTGGAAGTTCTATTCTCCTGTGTGTTTACATGCTTGTAACTCTTTGTAATACCTCGCCGTGCGTCGTCTCAAGACAATTACGCTCTTAAAAAGACGTTTTTCTTCCGCTTTCATTTGGCAATAGCACGAGTGTTTTTTTGTTTGTCCCCATTTATGAAAATACTACCCACATGCACATGTTTGGCATTGATGTGGAACATAAGCTATTATCAAAATACTACATTGTATGGAGCACAGGCAGCAAAATAAATGTGTGCACAAAACCTGGGAAGACGCAGCCATATGCAAAGTTTGTCGGATTTCACCGATAACCAAAACACAAAATTCAGCAACAGCCACATTGTAGGAATAGCTGATTGCCCATCTTTGTGATTTAAAGGGAAAGTACCGTCTTTTTCTTTGTTTTTCAGATAAACATAAAATATAGTTCAGCTAAAAATAAATTGAAATATTATGAATGTGCATTAAAGCAGCCAAAACCTTTTTTTCCCTAGTTTTGGATATAGTCGGTAAGTGTTAGAACCTAAGGTAAAAACTAGAATGCCAACTGTGTAGATAATGTCCAGATCAAGAGAGCTTCCTCTACTGGTAATCTATCTAA